TTGCACTGGACGCAGTTCATCACCCCGAGCAAGTCGCGCGTGCGCAGCCGGATCTTCCACGGCGCGGCCTCCTCCGAGTCTGCGTGCTCGCGCAGCAGCGCCGCGGCGCGAGAGAGAGACGGCTCGGCGAGGGCGGGAGAGTTGAGGATCTGCTCCATCGGCGGCCAGACCTGACCGAGGGACTCACGCAAGCGTGTGCACCCGCTTGTCACGTGAGAGGGTGCCGAGTCCGCTCCATCGCCAGACCTGCCGCACGTCCCCGAGGTAGGTGCAGCGGCCGAGATATGGGGAGGTGTGGGGAGATCTGGGGAGATATAGACCTGCCGCACGTCCCCGAGGTAGGTGCAGCGGCCGAGATATGGGGAGATCTGGGGAGATCTGGGGAGATATAGACCTGCCGCACGTCCCCGAGGTAGGTGCAGCGGCCGAGATATGGGGAGATCTGGGGAGATCTGGGGAGATATAGACCTGCCGCACGTCCCCGAGGTAGGTGCAGCGGCCGAGATATGGGGAGATCTGGGGAGATCTGGGGAGATATAGACCTGCCGCACGTCCCCGAGGTAGGTGCAGCGGCCGAGATATGGGGAGATCTGGGGAGATCTGGGGAGATATAGACCTGCCGCACGTCCCCGAGGTAGGTGCAGCGGCCGAGATATGGGGAGATCTGGGGAGATCTGGGGAGATATAGACCTGCCGCACGTCCCCGAGGTAGGTGCAGCGGCCGAGCCGCGGGGCGACCTGGCGGACGGACGTGGCTGTGTGCGTGAGACGCCGCTGCATCGGGTGGAGCAAGCCCGCCGCGCGGACACGCCCTCTGGAGAGGCGGGGAGAGATGGGGAGAGATGGGGAGAGATCGGGGACACACCCTCTGGAGAGGTGGGGAGAGATGGGGAGAGATGCCGAGAGATCGGGGACACACCCTCTGGAGAGGTGGGGAGAGATGGGGAGAGATGCCGAGAGATCGGGGACACACCCTCTGGATGGCGCAGAGGGTCAGCATGGTTGCAAAGTACAGGTTCGGCACCGCGCCTGCGACCAGACTCTTGCCTCACACACTCCTCTCCTCAGGCCATGAGGAGCAAACCCTCGTCGGAGAAGGGCAGGCCGGCGCCGCGCCTGGCTCGTCGCGCAGCCGGCGGCGGTACTGCAGCCTCGCCTCCTCCTCGTCGCCTATCACAACGACTCGTGGCCTCTCACTCGAGTATGCGGTGCTGCAGCCTCGCCCCTCCCCCTGCTCGCCTAGTGACAGAATCCTCCTCCTCCAGCTCACGGGAGCAGTCGCAGCCTCGTCGCCGTCGTCGTCGCCCGTGCGCAGCAGATCGCCGACGATGGAGGCGGAGACGGCGGAGTGGAGGCCTATCACGCCCCCAGCCCTCAACCCTCACAACAGGAATGCACGACGAGGGAGGCGGAGGCGGCGGAGTGGAGGCCTGACACGCCGCGGTTGAAGTCGCGCTTCCACGAGTTCTCGGGCTCCTGGTCAGCCAATCAATCAACTAATTAAGCCTCCACGAGTCCTCGGGCTCTACGGGGTTTCGCGGGCCGGGGGGAAGCGGCTAGTCCTCTGGTGGGAGGTGTCCGGGGAGGTGTCCGGGGAGGTGTCCGGGGAGGTGTCTGGGGAGGGGGCCTGCAGATCGAGCTGGAAGCAAATCTTCTGGTGAATGAAGCGCCTGGCCAGGAGGGCCGGGTCACGTCCCCTCATTCTCGTGGCGGAGAAGGCGGGGAGGCGGGCAGAGGAGGCGGGCAGAGAGGGAGGCGGGCGGGTGAGGCGGGCGGGTGAGGAGGAGGCTGGCGCGGGGCGGAGAGAGGCTGCGGAGTGTTGCTACGCCTCTCCTCCCCTCCCTCTGGAGTTGGGTGTGCGGCACGCAAGCCGTGCCTGAGCGCCCCATCATCTCCTCTCCTCCCCCCTCCTCTCCTCCCCTTCTCCTCCTCTCCTCTCCTCCCCTTCTCCTCCCTGTCTAACCCCTCCCGTCCCTCCTCCCCTCCCTCCTCCCTCCTCCTCTCTCGCGCGCCAGACTCTCGAGCCGTCGTACCCCGTGTTCCTCTCCGCGTGCTCGTGCAGGTCGTAGTACCTACACGCCAGGCAGTGCACACCCCTCGGCCAACGCTGCACGCCGGCCGCGCGACCCCCGGGAGGGCGAGGGCCCACTCGGGAAAGGCCGAAGGCATGGCCTACCGCCCCCAGCCGGCAAGCTCGAACTCGGACCTGGGCAAACCAGAGAGCACGACCGGGAGGCGCATCGGAGACGGAAGGAAGCCGCCGCGGTGCCCCCCCCCCCCCCAAAAGGA